TTTTCGACCTTCGTTCTTTCCGTGCAATCCTCCTTTAAACGCACATATGGTATGATAAGATGATTACTACGAACAGCTCGAACTTAATTGTAAATGAACTGATACTTAGAAGAATGTAGTGTGCAAATCGGTTTGCCGACAATGTGATTTTGGAACATTTGAAGATCATCTTATCCAAATGGTCGAGTCAAAAACGAACCGGGCGCAATGTGGCGGTGAGGAGCAGAAATTTGGCGTCAATTTCACGGATTTGCTAAGTTCAGGACTAAGCTTTGGAGGAGAAGAGGGAATCCGAGCTGCGTAAGCAATTTTCATTCGCTCCGGAATTCGTCCCTCTGCGTTAGGCTTAGTCCTTGTGAACTTTCCGACAGACTGTCCCTCCCCGGAAGCGCATTGCGCCATGAACCGTATCCACAACAACGGAGCCAAAATCTGACCTTTGCATGAGCTGCAATTCTTTGGACAAGGCCAAACATGCCTCTGAATGCCACTACGATTCGGTATGGATCGCTTATGAAGCGTATCTCTACGCTATGCGCCTGCTATCCTATTATAAATGGTGTCCCCCAAGAGGCCCACCGCGCGGCGAAGGAAGAGACGCAGACGCGGCAAAGGACGAGTCGCAGCGCATACTGCGGTTAGGCGTCAGGTTAAATAGAGTGTACCACCATACTACGTCTCATATCGCACAGCACGCGCTGCAACTCGTCTCTTTGCCGCATCTGCGTCTCTTTCTTCGCCGCGCGGTGGGCCTCTTGAGGGACACCCCCTGCTATCCTATTGTGAATGCCAAGAGAGAATGATTAAACTTAAGTTATGTACATTTTACGCAAAGAACATGTGACATATATAAACAATTACCAGCGCAATGTGCCTCCGGGGCGGGGGGGGAGGCAGTCTGCTGGAAGGCTACTAGTACTAAACCTATCGCCAAGGGACGAAGGAAGACGAAAATTGCTTGCGCAGCTCGAATTCCCTCTTCTCCAACAAAGCTTAGTCCCAAAACTGAAAAATTCCGTGAATCTGTCGCAATGTTGCAGGCCACCCCTACCCCTCCGTAGCCATAGTGCGCCAAATTTTTCTTCTTATTCTTTAGCGTTTGTCCCACTCTGTGGCGGGGTCCGCTTTCCTGGTATTACGACGCCACTTTTCCCGATTATGTGCTTGATCGGGGTGGAAGGCCAACTAATTTCAAGTCCTCATGCAACGTATCAAGCCATCGTTGCTTCGGGCGTCCTCTTTCCTGGCACGTTAAAGTCTAGACCGATCTTACGGACACTGTCATCATTAGCGCGAAGGACGTGACCGTACCACCTCAGGCGAGCTTCGCGCATCTTATCAGCGATGGGAGCCACACCGAACCGCTTTCTGATGGTATCGTTGCGAATGTGGTCTAAACGCGTGACCCCGGCAGTCCAGCGCAGCATTTTTGTCTCCATTACACTGAGACGAGCCTCAACCTCTTTAGTCACGGGCCAGCACTCTGCTCCGTAAATGGCGACTGGTCGGACGACGGTTCTGTAGATCTTAGATTTCAGTCGCTCTGGTATTTTCTTATCGCAGAGAACGCCGGTCATCGAGCGCCACTTGGACCAAGCTGCACTCACCCGGGAGTTTACTTCAGAGATCAGGCTGCCGTCGGACGCGATTGCCGACCCAAGATACTTGAATGATGTTGTACGTGTGAGCTCAGTGCCACTGATCTTAATAGAGCCTGGCTCACTCAAATCGGTGGTCAAGTACTCTGTCTTCTTCACATTCAACCTGAGCCCAAACATAGCCAGACGGTCGGACCAGGTTTGCACCTGTTGCTCGAGCAGATGTTTGTCTTCGCAGCGAGCATCACGTCATCAGCATAAAGAAGCGTCCATGGAGCCGGCTTCTGAAGATCTCGCGAAATGGCATCCATGACGACAATGAATAGGAGTGGGGAAAGCGCGGAGCCCTGGTGCACACCGACCGAGATGGGGAATTCCATCGAAGTACCTGCCACTGTTACCGCAAATTCGTATTCACGATGGTGAGATTGTGCGAATTTGCGTACTCAAGAATTCGTTCGCCATCGTTGTTACGTGACCCATATCCAAATCCACCATGACAGTTGTAACCGTCTTTCGCAGCGCCGACGTGACCGTTAAGGTCACCTGCGACAATGACAGCCTCTTCTGACGGTACCTCTGCGGTCTTTTCATCCAGCAGGTCCAGAACTCGTCCTTGGCTCGCTCAGAGCAGCCAGTCTGCGGAGCATATGCAGAAAAGAAGTGGTATCGCTTACGTTCGATGACGACAACAATCTTCATTAGACGGTCGTCGAAGCGATCAACGCTTACTATCGAGTCACGGAAGCGTTCAGAAACAATCATCCGACGCCACTGGTGGTTCTAGGGACCGCCACAAAGAACGGCTTTGAAGCCGCGGCCAATGTCCTCGACTTGCAGCAGGACCACCTCGTTTCCTGCACGGCACAGAAATCAATTCGTCGGCGCTCTAGAGCTTCTGCTAACTCGTACGAGCGGCCCGTCAACGTGCCAACATTTAACGTCGCAACGCGAATCTTCCATACGTTGCAGGACTTTTGGACTAGCTTAGTTGCCCCCCGATGCCGTCCTTGCGTCCGGAGACCCTCGCATACTTTTCACACTCGCCGGGCTTTGCGAGTGCGCGTCGGCTCCCGCGGACGCCGTAGCATTATCTCGGAAATCACATGACGTCATTAACCATGAAGATGTGACGTGGATATTCGTAGGCCGGCCTGCATTCGAATGTCCGCGATCAGCTCAGCCCACAAAAGTGTGCAGTTCCCAGTGTCATACTGCGCCACATTATCTCGCTTTTCTCTTTCGTTCTGCCAGACTCACTCCTAGCCGCACTGAAAGTCTGCGCATTTCCCAACAATGTCGAAGGAAGCGCCAGAACCAAGTGTCAAAAGGAGAAGCATGGTTCCGCAACGAGCTAGGCTTCAAAAGTGGGCAGCATGCCAGGAAAACTCGTCCTGCATTTTTTCACGGTGTAGGTTTATGCGACAGTTTACGCTAATTTTCGATAGCTAAGCCCCCGCTGACATTGCGTAAATCACCTCCGCTTGTGCAGTGTAATTTTGTACACCTTAGAAACTACCGTAAATTTGCCTATAGAGGTAATTCGATGCCCTGATTACGAAAATGACTTTCATTTTAGCGGTGGCGCCAGTTGGCGTCACCTTGTCACGACACCTGTTTTCACCAAATTTCGGTGTAAACTTCCGTATAGGGGTTATTTGGTGTCCTGATTACGAATATGACATTCATTCTCGGCGCTGGCGCTATTTGGCGCCTATTTTCTGCTCGTCTGCGCTCTCCAACCGAGAAATATGCGTTGAACAACGTTAATGCCAAAAACGAATGTCATATTCGTAATCAGGGCACCAAATAACCCCTATACAGAAGTTTACACCGATTTTGGTGAAAACAAGGGTCGTGACAAGGTGACGCCAACTGGCGCCAGATGACGCCATTGCTAAATGAATGTCAGCATATCGAATTAGCCCTATGGGCAAGTTGCAGTGAGATGTCCAGGGGCCGGGTGCAGCAAGCCCCAACGAGGGGATAGGGACCCATCCCCTCTCCCCGAGGTTGGGGATATGTCCCCAAAGTTGGTGATATATCCCCAACGCGGGTGAGGGGATGTGTCCCTAACCAGGAAGGTCTTTCAGGGCGTGCCAAGCTTTTTGAAAACGGTCTTTTGCATGATATAGGGGCACATGCGGGAACCACAGAACCATGGTTCATTTTTCCTGAACGGCCCTCTGAATACCAGAAAAGGGGGTCCCTAGTTCGATTCCTCGTGGTGACAAATTTTTGCATTTCGAGTTGACGTTCCAAAATTCGCGCAAAATGGAGTTAGCATGAATAATTAGTACCATATTCATGATTAGGACCGTCAGTAACCCTTACAAAAAGACTTTGACTTAAAAATGGTGAAGAGGTGTGACACCAAGCAGCCCCACTGTGGTGTCACACCTTTTTCACCAGTTTTTAATCAAAGTCTATTTGTAAGGGTTACTGACGGTCCTAATCATGAATATGGTACTAATTATTCATGCTAACTCCATTTTGCGCGAATTTTGAAACGTCAACTCGAAATGCAAAAATTTGTCACCACGAGGAATCGAACTTTTCTGGTATTCAGAGGGCCGTTCAGGAAAAATTAACCATGGTTCTGTGGTTCCCGCATGTGCCCCTATATCATGCAAAAGACCGTTTTCAAAAAGCTTGGCACGCCCTGAAAGACCTTCCTGGTAAGGGTGGGGATATATTCCCGGTTTCGTCACAGGACCCATCATTTTTTGATGGGTCCTATGACGCTACCATGCGAAACGGTCACTGCCGTCGACCCTTTTGTCTCTGCGGCAGGGGATATATCCCCCTAGTCGAGACTAGGGGGATTCGTCCCCTCAGATGCCGACGCGGAGAATCGACGGCAGTGACCGTTTCGCATGGTCGCGTCATAGGACCCATCAAAAAATGATGGGTCCTGTGACGAAACCGGGGATATATCCCCAACCTTGGGGACATATCCCCAACTTTGGGTAGAGGGGATAGGTCCCCATCCCTCGTTGGGGCTTGCTGCACTCGGCCCCAGATGTACGCAGGTGCACTGCAATGGCGAAGGTGTTTCTACGTGATATCGGCCTTGCTTAGTATGTACCAGAAATTGGGGTATGTGTTCACTGTCGCATTAAAACATTGGCGTACCTTTGTAAACAGCCAAATAAACACGTGGGCTGTGGAAAACGAGAAATAGTCAGCCCTAGATCTAATTTTTTTTTGGTGATTTTTACCTGATTTTTACCTGAATTGGCAGTTTTATTGTCTACGGTCTTATTATTAAAGTTATCACGCAGAATTATTTAGGACGATTTTCATTGATTTTTGGCCGTTTGTTCCCTTGCATTTCTTTAAATATGGGACTTATAGAAGTACGCACCTTAACACATTGGCGACAATGTCGCCCGATGCCGGGCGACACCCCTTGAATTTTATTCCTTTGCGCATATTCCAAATTTTGAGCGGTGCTATATTAACCCGGAATACGTTGTCAAACTTGTAATGGCCACGTTCTTTGAACATCTTTCACAGTGAAAGTTTTACAGAAGGGTTGCTTGGAATTGCTTCTTCAGTGATAAGGTTGTTCTTTCTTGATGTAGAAAGCTGCCTTTTTGTATGCTATTAGCTAGCTCAATGATACAACAATTGGCAAAAAAGAGATTTGTGTTCAACCTCATTTGTGGATTCTACAGTGGAAAATTGGAATTTTCCGAGAGCGTTCCGAAGTTTCACCTTTGCGGGACGGGGAGATTTTTGCTTGGTTTGCAGCCATTAAGCATTTGTACGAGACAAATGATGTTTCAGCAGTTTCCGCATTGTGTTCTCATTGATTTGGTATGTACACCGTATGGAAGCGTTTCAGCATTAGGACGCAATTTTCGGGAACACCCAAAATTGCTTGGTCGCCAGTGTGTTAATAGAAATAAAGATCTTATTCATTTCAGAAATTTATAGAAGACAAAAGGAAAAAAATTCTCTACCAACCTGGCTACGTTTTTCAAAACTGCCATCCATAGCAGTACATTCAGCATGCCGTCTTCAATCCATCTGCAATCCGAAATATTGAATAGAAGATAAATTAGCAAGCAACCGATGACTACGATTATGAATGTGATTCAAAACCCGATCTCAAAAGGGAGAAGTTCCGACAGAGAAAGAATTAGAATTTAAGAAGAAGTGAGCTGAGTTCAAACGCAAAACAAGCCACTGTTGATAAAGAGTGGAAGCACAGTTGAAAGCATCACAGATTATCAAGAATGTAATATGTTCCCTATCTAATCTCGGTGAACTGTGTAATAGACTTTCTCGATTACTCTAATTTCCTACAGATATATAAGCCCGCGCCGATATCATGTAAAACACCTCTGCTCGTGCAGTGTAATTTTGTACACCTTAGAAACTACCGCAAATTTGCCTATAGAGGTAATTCGATGCCCTGATTACGAAAATGACTTTCATTTTCAGCGTGGCGCCAGTTGGCGTCACCTTGTCACGACACCTGTTTTACCAAATTTGGTGTAAACTTCCGTATAGGGTTATTTGGTGTCCTGATTACGAATATGACATTCATTCTCGGCGCTGGCGCTATTTGGCGCCTATTTTCTGCTCGTCTGCGCTCTCCAACCGAGAAATATGCGTTGGCAACGTTAACGTTACCAAAAACGAATGTCATATTCGTAATCAGGGCACCAAATAACCCCTATACAGAAGTTTACACCGATTTTGGTGAAAACAAGGGTCGTGACAAGGTGACGCCAACTGGCGCCAGATGGCGCCACCGCTAAAAATGAATGTCGTTTTCGTAATCAGCATATCGAATTACCCCTATGGGCAAGTTACGGTCATCTCTAGACGTACGCAAGTGCACAGCACCAGCAGGGTGTGGTTCACTAGGACAGAAAGCGATCTTTTCGCGTTTCGCAGCGCGAAACATTTTTCGCTGCGGGAACCTCGGTCCACTGATGATCAGCGGTGGACCTGAGGTTCCCGCAGCGAAAAATGTTTCGCGCTGCGAAACGCGAAAAGCCGCTTTCTGTCCTAGTGAACCACACCCCCACTAGCAGAGGCGGGTGCTAAGCAGGGTCAACCCTACGTTGTTACTAGTAACAACGGGGGGGTCGTACCTGGTTGAGTTTGTAGGAGGGGGGGTCGTATCCGCTTCAGTCGCGTGAAATACATGTGAGTTTGTGGTGAAAGTGGAGTTTTCACGAGTAGTAGGCTAGGTGAGTTGGGAGCGCACGGGAGAAAAATTTACCATTTCAGCGCGCGTATATTACTTACTTAGACTTAGTTCCTCCCGTGCTGGAGAGCACATCGGGCGACGAATTCTTTCCACTGTTGCCGATCTTGTGCAATCATTTCTCCTTCATTCCTAGAAACATTCATGATCTTAAAATCATTCTCGAACGTTCGTCTCCACTCTGGGACGGCCTCTTCCTCGCTTGGCGCCTGGTCTTCCGGCGACTTATACAATGGGGCCAGTTCATCGATATCGCAGAAGATCAAAATGCGGTTGTACTACTCCATCGTGATTCCTACTGCAATATGCAAGTGAAACTTGGAAATGTACTGCTAGCATTGTAAATGCCTTTCACCAGAGATGTCTACGCCGGATTATGAAAATACGCTACATGGATCACGTCACCAATGAGGAAGTTTTACGCCGTTGGCTCGAATTGCCTCCACGTGATTGTGGCACAGCGTAGGCTTCGACTGGCTGGCCATATTTTGCGCATTACACCACAACGAGTTCCAAGGATGGCCATGAACTGGATACGATATGAACAGCGCGTATATACCCCCCTAGAAAATGAAGCAGTGGGTAGAAGTGGGGTAAATTGGTTGAAATTTAGGGAATTTTGGTAAATTTTTACTGTTTCAGAGTGGGTATATACCTCCCCCCCCCCGCTCGACGGCATTTTTGGAGGAAAAAGTGGGCGGAGTTTGGAGGGTTGAGTGGTATGGGAGAGGGGGTAGTAAATTTTTTTTGAAAAAGTAACAACGATAGGACTGACCCTGGTGCTAAGTGAGTTGGGGGGACCACGCGGCGGCGCGGCGCTCTGTTCGTCTGCTCCTCTAAGGCTTAGTCCAAGGGGCAGTTACTATTTCGTCGCCACGTGGCAGTTTCGAAATACGCGCCATCGGCGGACTAAGCCTTGGAGGAGCAGACGAACAGAGCGCCGCGCCGCCGCGTGGTCCCCCCCCCCCCCCTCCCCTCCCACTTAGCACCCAGGGGTGTTTTTACGTGACAGCAGGACGGGCTTATCTACCGGAAGTTAGGGAATGCGATATATCAAGTATATCCGCACTCTGAAGTTTATTTATTTATTGGTCTACAACAGAAGAAGGTATGGCACGGCTGCAATCACGTAATTAACGACCGATTGTCTTCCCTTAATGGCTTGGGTAAGACTACTGAGAAGAAACTCCATAAGGTCTCAAGAGAACGTGTGTGTGAAGCAAATTGTAGAGCAGAGCGTTACAAATGGTTTTGTTATACTTATAGACCGCTTGGAAAGCTTTGAGTATGTATATTAAGACCACGAGCCATCGACCCTGAAAATAACCACCTGCCGAGCACAACAGGTCGGGTGCCGTGTGAACCTTTTGATTTAAATACGAATCCTCGTAGCTGGCTCGGGTTTTTGAAGACCGTCTAAGGGTGAGCAAAGCGTGGCTGAAGTTTGAGTCGTTCAGCACTGTGGTGGTACACGCCATAAAAGCGGTAAAACCAGTAGATAACATACTGACTGTGGGATAATGTAGCAATACATGACTTATGTATGACTCCGGGTTGCACCTGGCCGAAGGTATCACTAGATCTCTTAAGATTCCATGGAGTTTGACCTCTCGCATATGAAACAGAACATCTCGTCATCATTCGTTGGAAGGGTAGTGTGTAACTATGTCAGAGACATGCCTCACGCTAGTCTACTGCGAGGAAAATCAACATCTGCTGACAAACATGCATATACATGATCATGATCGTCTAGAAGTTCCAGGCAGTTCGCCGAGCTTAACCATGCCTTGCAAAAATTGCAAAAATGGTTCTAGTACCAGCGTCAGGCCCAGGTTGACAGGCCGGCTGATGAACACCCCAGTCACACCAACATGTCTAAAAGTCGAAAAGAATCAGTGATAAAGCTAGGACGTCACCCGGAAGTGGCGCGCAGAACCCCCGCCCGAGTTCTGTGGTCAGTATGCGAGGGCTACCGAGGAGGCCTCGGCCAAAGAAGCTAGTTCGAATAGGGACTCTGAACGTAGGATCGCTAACTGGGAAGTCCCGAGAGGTTGCTGATCTGATGACGCGCAGGAATATCCAAGTCCTATGCCTTCAGGAGACGCGATGGAAAGGTGCTAAGGCCAGGGAAATCGGGGAAGGTGTCAAACTCTACTACAATGGAGAAGACACCAAGCGGAACGGTGTGGCCATAGCGGTAGCGGAGTCGCTCAAGGACTATGTCTCCGCTGTGAACAGGATCAGCGATCGGATCATGGCTGTGAGGATAGACACGAAGAGGGGTACTGGACCATACTCCGTGTACGCACCGCAAGCCGGATGCCCCGAAAGTGAGGACGAGTTCTATCTCAGCCTTGACGATGCCATCAGAACGATTCCAGAAGGTGACTACCTCACCATAGCAGGTGATCTGAATGGTCACGTAGGCAGTGAAAGAAAGGGATCCTGGACTTGGCTGCGGTACCGATCTGGCAATCTGCAGCACGTTCTTCGCGAAAAGGGAGACTCAGAAGGTCACCTACAGCAGTGGAGGACGGAAATCGACCATGTGCTGGTAAAAAGATCATCCCTCAGAACTGTGAAGGATATCAAGGTACTCCCTGGCGAAGAACTGGCTCCCAGCACAGGCCCCTCCTGGCAGACATAGCCATGGACCTCCCCAAGAAGACAAGGGTAAGAACCGAGAGGAGAATCCGGTGGTGGAAGTTGCACCGTGCAGAGAAGAGTGACCTCAAGCGAAGGATAATGGAAGTTGGTCTCCCAGATCCTGAGGGACCAGTGCAGCAGACTTGGGGCAATGCAGCTGAGATCATCCTACGATGCGCCAAGGAGGTACTGGGCGAGACGCGAGGTGGATTCAGAGGAGACAAGGCAGCGTGGTTCTGGAACGAGGAGGTCCAGCGAGTCGTGAAGAAGGAAGCATACAAGCGCTGGCAGAAGACCCGGAGCCCCGAGGACCTCGCTGCCTACAAGAGTTGCAAGAGGCTCGCTAAGGCTGCCGTCGCCAAGGCAAAGAACACGGAGATGGACGCCTTGTACGAGAAGTTGGAAAGCAGAAACGCAGAGAAGTTCGTCTTCAGACTGGCCAAAGCCCGGCATCGGGCTACTCAAGATATCAGGGTGGTGAAGAGCGTGAAGAGCAGCAACGGCGCCATCCTGAGGAAGCCAGCCGAAGTCCGGAGGAGGTGGGAAGAGTACTTCAGAGGGAACGAGGAGTTCTCCCACAAGAACAACTCACGGGCAGAGGCCACAGCTGGTCCCATCGCACTCTGGACAGAGGATGAGGTTCGGTGTGCACTTGGGAAGATGAAGGTTGGAAAGGCAGTTGGTCCGGATGGAGTACCCATAGAGGCTTGGAAGGCTTGGAGAGCACGGGGTGAGGTGGCTCACCCGCTTCCTGAATACGGTGACTGCCGAAGGAAGGATGCCGGATGCCTGGAGAACAAGTACTATCGTCCCCATCTTCAAGCAGAAGGGTGACGCGATGGACTGCTCCAACTACCGCGGGATCAAGTTGACTGCGCATACCATGAAGTTGTACGAGCGCCTGGTCGACTCGAAACTGCGGGAGCTGGTCCCGATCTCCCAGGAACAGTTCGGGTTCATGCCCGAAAGGTCTACAACGGATGCCATCTTCATCGCTAGGCAAGTGATGGAGAAGTATCGAGCGCCGACCCTGCTACCTAGCCTTCCTCGACCTGGAGAAGGCGTTCGACCGGCTACCGCGAGCAGTACTATGGAGATCGCTCAGGGAACGGAACGTGCCAGAACACCTGGTGAAGGACATGTACGAAGGGGCCAAGGCAGCTATACGCACCCCATACGGCCTAACGAAGGAGGTGGACATCACGGTTGGGGTGCACCAAGGGTCAGCTCTGAGCCCGTTCCTCTTCCTCCTAACACTAGATGTCCTGGTGAAGGGGCTCATGGAGGGACCACTGAAGACCATCCTCTACGCTGACGACATCGCCTTGATAGCGGATAGCAGAGAGGAACTTCAAGCCAAGGTGCAGAAATGGCAGAAAGTCCTGGCAGAAGGTGGGCTACGGCTGAATGTCAAGAAGACCAAGTTCCTGAGCTCCGAAGAGGGTGCAGAGCCGATCGAAAAGGTGGAGGACTTCCGATACCTTGGAAGCGATCTGGCAGCCGACGGTAGTGTGGATCAGGCGGTGAAGGCTCGGTCAACGCTGCATGGATGAAATGGAGGGAGTCCACTGGAATCCTCTGCGATCGAAGGTGCTCCAGAGCGCTCAAAGGGAAGGTGTACCGGACAGTGGTAAGGCCTGCGATGCTCTACGGCAGCGAGTGCTGGCCCCTGAACAAGAATCACGAAAGGCAGCTTCACTCTGCCGAAATGAGGATGCTGAGATGGGCCTGCGGCTGGATTTGGATAGGTGATTCCTCCACCAGTCGTCAGAGGACATGGCGCCTCCTAATCAGCGATGCTTCGAGCGCCGTGGTAGAATCCAGAACGTTAAGGATGCCGAAAGGCGTCGATGACTTGACTTTATAGAAGCTACAATGGTGTCAAAAGAAGGAATAAAAAAAGAAAAGTGGAATTGGTTGAATAACTTCAACTCCAGAAGAAAAGGAGCAGAGTGCTGATACGTGACTGAAAAGGTTGAGGCTCGTCTCAGTGTAATGGAGACAAAAATGCTGCGCTGGACTGCCGGGGTCACCCGTTTGGACCACATTCGCAACGATACCATCAGAAAGCGGTTCGGTGTGGCTCCCATCGCTGATAAGATGCGCGAAGCTCGCCTGAGGTGGTACGGTCACGTCCTTCGCGCTAATGATGAGAGTGTCCGTAAGATCGGTCTAGACTTTAACGTGCCAGGAAAGCGGCCAAGAGGACGCCCGAAGCAACGATGGCTTGATACGTTGCATGAGGACTTGAAATTAGTTGGCCTTCACCCCGATCAGGCACATAATCGGGAAAAGTGGCGTCGTAATACCAGGAAAGCGGACCCCGCCACAGGGTGGGACAAACGCTAAAGAATAAGAAGAAGAAGAATTCCGTCACTTAACGCATTAAAGGGAAGATCCAAATTCCTTAAAAAGTTGAAATCGGTTTTCGAGGAAACAAAAATTTACGTCAGTGGCAATTCCCATTGAAACGTCTCTGAATCTACTTAACTGGATCGAAACGAGGAAGAAAATGGTTTGAAGAAAGAAAGGCGAGGATGGATAGCTATTCTTTTGACGACGCTTCTTGGTGCTGGTCTTTAAGCCGAATTCGATAGCACTCCCCAGAGAAATATGTGGAAAGGACAAGCCAGCAGCTGCTGTGTGCGTCAAAACGCTTTAGATAGCCATGGTCGATTATGTGGAATGTGCTCTCTGAATCCATCCACCTTCCTTTTATGGTCAACGAGCCGTGCAGTAACGACAGTGGATTGACTGCGGTCTTCCATGACGCTTCCTCCCAAGTACAGGGGATTAAAACGAAATTGTTCTGAAATCACTAAAAGCAAGAAACAAACAGCTTGTAGCGCCGCATACATTTAGAGGTTTGAAGGCAAGCTCCGGAACAGTATGAGAGAGTTACCTGTTCATACGTATATGGTGTATTGAATCTAAGTGAGTCGACAGAGAAGAAAAAAAAGCAGGAATGCCCAAATAGGACGGGGCCTTGGCACAGGAAACTGCTTGCTCCTAGTTTTCTTCACGTATTCATGTAATTGGTGTCCTTCCGAGTGGACGACCTTGTTAAAGATTTGAGTCAACGCATATGTAGAAATGAGCAACTTCCGAAAAACTATCATTTATACTACAACCATACTCCTGTGCAAGAAAGGCGACCCATGAAGAGGCAAATACAGATCAATCCCGCTGCTGCTAATTCTATCCTGGAGTTTGCCCTATGTGGAGGAAGTGGATATGCAGTAACTTAGGGGAGCAAGCTTGATTTAGGCTATGCTATTCCATCTTAGGCGTCAATTAATGGTGGGATTATGCCAAGAATGAGGTGTAAGCATCTTAATAATTAATTAATTAATTTTCGTTCACTACCAAAAATTGAACGTCGAGTTTAGGGTCATCTGGAGATCGCTTAGAAGTCTATAGAAGATGCTTGCAGAATTTGGATGATAAAACAGTTAGGCGCTGAACGATCGCTCTAAAAATGGAGATCGATATGCAAGGTGTCCGACAAGCTGATTCGCCATTTCTGGCACATTGTACTCAACCGACGCACCAGAGGAACTACTAGTCGGACTTGAAGCGAACGCAAGAAAAGCTGAGCTTATGCCCACTAATGTCAAAGAAAAATGGTGCATATCGAATGGAGTAGCATTGAAGTAGCATCGTCATATGTATGTTTTGAGTAGCTTTCATGTTTTCTCCAGAGACGTGGACAAGGGATCAGTCGGAGGATCATCTTGGCCGGGAGATCGATCCGAAATTCATTCGGAAGCGAACCATACTGCTCGAGACCAAGATAAATATTCACATCTGATGAGCAGCAGAAGATCATGCGGAAAGTTGCCAATGAACAACGGAACGTGAAATGTAAGGCCTTCGACTTTAAGACAAGGTAAGGGTAAAACACAGTGCAAAAACAGAAAAAGCTCAAAGACGAACGTGTCAAGCCCAAGAAACACAAATGATCAACGCGAATAAGTTACTGGCAAGCGTACAAACACGATGGGAGGTGCGGGCATTCTGGAATCCTGTGGAAGCAGATCAGTTGAACGAGCATGAATTCGATGGGAAAATAATTTCGAGTCCTATGCGGACGCAGAGTGAAAGAGTATAGCAGCAACTTCTGAGTGGATCCAGAGTATAACGTGATTCTCCATCTATGTCAGATGAGTGGATAAATGTTAAACATAAATAGTAATGTTAAAGATATAATATGTAATACAGTTGGCGTTGACCGATTTTCCTCTGGCTGAGCCTTGCCTCCTTCCCTTTTCCGAACAATGTGGTATACGGAGCCCATACAAGTACTTTCACGGGGCGGAGCGTCACACAGGGCAGTTTCCTTACCCTCTTGGCAAGTCTGATGCCATTAAAAAAATGCTAAGGGCAGGCGTGGTTACTTTTGTGGGATTCGAGCGGGGAATTGATTCTGGATCGTTGGCTAACAGTAGCCTCTCTTGTTGCTTATCGTCTGCATTTAAACGCAGCTTTTCAACTGTGACTTAGCGCTTTATGAATCCAGTTCCATGACACTCATTCGAAATCCGGTGATTGCTAAACAGCGCTTATTGAAACGTGCAAAACCAATGCGAAACTCCAAATATTTGTTGTGAAAAACTCAAAAAGTTTCACAAAAGTTCTAGAGCAACTGCTTCCCAAAAGTTTATGAGGCTTTCAACGGGATTCTAGCGCTACCGCTTCGTTTAAGCCTCGAGAAAGATTAACTAGGTTTAACAGCTAGTTTTTTGAGTATTCGACTAATGTATCATAACTAGCAAGCCCGCTGCCACTGGAATATGAACATTCTTGCTGAACTTCCTGGTCCAAGGAGCAGAAAAAGAAAGTGAAAAAAGAATGAAAAACAATAAATGAAAACGCCTATAATGAAAGCATTCACTGTTAGTCAGTCCCTCTGCAGGATGTGGCCCACATCCTACTTCTACACTCTGTTGCAAAACTATACGACATACCCAAATTTTGGGTTTCTGAAGTTACGAGAAACATAGCACAAAAATGGGTAATGCCATTCGATTCGGCGTGTAAAGAAACCTACAACAGAGAATCTCCAAGCAGTTCTGTCAACTTCCAGAAATCTAGGGTCAAAAAAATGAAAAAATGGCCGTTGCAAAACTATACGACATAGCAGAAATTTTGACAATTTTTTTCACTTCACTAAAATTTTTCCCTAGCTACTCCACAGTCATATTAGTACTGTATTGTAGATATGCAGGCCACGGATTCGCCATGCCCTGCATAGCACCTTGAGGAGCCGATCTGACATGTTTTCTACCAATTTTTGTATGCCTCCACCTGGATCCGTGATCGTAATCTTCGACTAGCATCTTTTGTAGGAGATGCAAGGAATTGTACCGATTATTCTAGGAACAAAGACTACGAGCAACGACGCCCCATAGGGTTTTCACTTGAATTTAGACCTCGCTAACAAGTGGACCATCCGAGTAAATCTATATGGTAGGCTTCAAAGCAAGGCGAAGTTGGCTCACCGACATGAATAACAGCGCTGTACTGCTGAGAAGTATGCTGATGATGACGATTATGTATCGTATACCGTAGTATTGTATTATATATTAGGTATTAGGTATTAGGGCACATCATCGTGCTCGGCAAACTTTTTAGCTTCTCGTACAGATCAAATTTCGTGCCTTATTACCTAGAGGCCGAATAGTAGCTTATTTGGTGTGTGATATTGCATTATTTTATTTTTTCATTATTTTTTCTGGTGACAAAAAGAGTTCCTCCTAGTAAGCCTGATGGATAGCACTATTATAAAAATGATTTGGGCAGAAAATCCATCTTCTTATCGAAAGGAGCCTGATACTGATACTGCACAACCTACAGTCGGCGTGGCAAGATAGATGTGGTCTTCACGTTTCAACGAATGAACTTCACCGACTAAGTAAGTGCTCGATCATCGCGTGCTACCGTCTACGACGCGGAATCGCCATCATCATCATCATCAGCATACTTCTCAGCAGTACAGCGCTGTTATTCATGTCGGTGAGCCAACTTCGCCTTGCTTTGAAGCCTACCATATAGATTTACTCGGATGGTCCACTTGTTAGCGAGGTCTAAATTCAATGAAAACCCTATGGGGCGTCGTTGCTCGTAGTCCTTGTTCCTAGAATAATCGGTACAATTCCTTGCATCTCCTACAAAAGATGCTAGTCGAAAGATTACGATCACGGATCCACGGGTGGCATACAAAAATTGGTAGAAAACATGTCAGATCGGCTCCTCAAGGTGCTATGCAGGGCATGGCGAATCCGTGGCCTGCATATCTACAATACAGTACTAATATGACTGTGGAGTGCTAGGGAAAAATTTTAGTAAAGTGAAAAAAATTGTCAAAATTTCTGCTATGTCGTATAGTTTTGCAACGGCCGTTTTTTCATTTTTTTGACCCTAGATTTCTGGAAGTTGACAGAACTGCTTGGAGATTCTCTGTTCAGGTTTCTTTACACGCCGAATCGAATGGCATTACCCATTTTTGTGCTATGTTTTTCGTAACTTCAGAAACCCAAAATTTGGGGTATGTCGTATAGTAACTTCGTGCGAAACGGAAGTGATATTCTGTACATTCGCGTTGGCATTCGTTTGAGTGCGATCTGGCCCATACAATGACTCGCAGAGGGAAGCTGGTGTTCAAGTCAATAATATTACAAAAATCCGATACCAATTAACCGACCCCGGTGAGATGGAGGGCTTGGTTGGACGGCGCACGATCTAGGGTCCGATCCCTGGACCGCGCGCGTTCTAAGCAGGCTACTTTCCACTACACAACTTTCGCCCAATAACGCTCTTGAAAATGAGCTTATGCCATATTTTACAACTTTTTCGTAAAACATTTCCGAGTCTTACGCAATGAATAGTATTTGTCTGGAGTCTCACATTGATTTCACACAACAAGGTACGCAGTAGACTTTGGGACTGAACGATCCTAATTATATATATTATACATTCATATATTCATCGGCTGGCTCGTGTGCGGCAGGCTGTACTGTCCCGCTTTCAACCACTTGGTATTCCTACAGCTTGGTCTGAACTCTGTTCAACTTTCCTGGTCTTAAGTTGCTGCGTTGCTCACTGTGGCACGTGAGTCCCGTAATCTACTTCAAGTGCCACCTTTAAAGGTATATATCCCTTTTGTTTCTTCATTGCAAGGCACCGGTAGCGTTCGCCGTGACAGGTGCCCGATTCGATTAGTAGATTTTTGACTGTTGATCTGTATTTTGCGATGGAGCTGAGGAGTGCTACGCAAGTGGAACAAAGCTGTGCTGTTGTGGGAACGACGGAAGTGCTACTGCCTAAAGAGCTCCAGGACCAAGTCATGGCCATCACAAATTCGAGCCGTATTGCCGATGGAATCAAAAGAGTGATCTCGGCGATCACACGCGAGCTCCACTCCCTGCATCTGGAAAATAAAGGACTCAGGCAAGAGCTTGATACGCTTCGAAATAAGCTACCTCAGGGCTTGCCGCTCGCTACGAGTGACAATGAGGTGCCGGTTGCTAGGCGTTCAGGAACTTCTGATAGGGGTCTGGCTCCCGGTGAGGGAGAGATTCCCTATCACGAAGTTGAGAGGCAGCGTTCTCTAATCATTAGTGGCATACCAGAACTTAGGTCTCAAAAGTCTCGTGAACGTGTGTCGTATGATTTTAATAGTGTCTGTAACATTTTGGATTATTTGAACGTTGATTGCAATCCGCTCACCGTGTACCGTTTAGGCAAGCCTCAAGCAGGCAAAGATAGACTGATAAAAGTAGTCTTGCCAGCACGTGTATTCCAACGTTTGGCTTTACGGAGAGCCTCACGCCTCCGCTACTACTCTGGCCGAGGGGTC